TTTTTAGGGACAGGCTGTGTATTTCCCTATCTGCTGTGCACAGAACCCACTCGCTGCTGTAGCTGCTGCCTCTTGAGCAAGTGATTGCTACTCTGCCTGACACAGGAGAGCTGTGGGAGCTCTTCTGTGAGACCTAAAAGTGGATGATTGATGCCTGGGAAACTTGAGCAATCACAGGAAGTATCTTCATTAATCTTGAAGGCCTTAATTAGTAGGATTAGCCAATTTTCCTGAAGCCATTAGAGTAGTTGACTATAAATTGTAAGGTTGACCTCTTCCAGCAGTAACAGGAAATGTTTTCCCACTGAAAGTTTGCTAGATCCTACAATAAGGTTTGCTGTAGACATCCATTTTATGTGGTATCAGGACAGGTTATTTCCCGAAAAAAGGGAAAGAATATTTTTGATGCGCCTTTAACAGGGGTTGACTGTTGGATAATGCACAAAGGGCTCCTCCTGTTGAACAGATTTCCCAAATGCCCTTCTCTGGCTTGAGCATAACCACCATAAATTGGCCATCTTATCCTGGAAGGAATTAGTGTGACTGCTTCCAGACATTGCATATAAATTTATGGAATGATTTAGATATCATTTTATTGCACCTGGCAGAACACTTTATTCTTCTAGGATGTATCTAGTTGTGAACTCAGTAGATCTTTCAAAGGGATTGCAATTGCAAGAGTGCTGAGGAGAAGAAAAAGGGCTAATGAAGAGATTTAGATTCACTTGGCCAACTGAAAGAAGTGAGCCTGGAGAGAGCGAGGTCCACTTCTCACTCAAGAGGAGAGCAAGTCCTTACTGAAGGGCTTGTGGACTGCTGGGCTACTGAAGCTGAAAAGGTTGGGTTACGTTTCCAGGGGATGGATGACTGCAGGGAATGAGGAAAATAATTCCTTTTTACATTCATTTTTTTCCTCTCCTTAGGAGGAGACTGACAGTATACCAAATAACCACTTTTGTTTCCCAATAATGGTGATAATTTTGAGTGGATTGTCCTCTACTTGCTGTTTTTCAGATTGAAATCAGCAATGAAACACTTGATACAAACTTGCCTAAACACATCCTGTAGTCCTGATAGTCTCACCTCTGTAATTTAGTATTTTAGCTTGTGGAATAAGTCATGCCTTAAGATAGGGTGTAGTTATCTCTGATGAGAACAGGAAGCCAGGTTTTGTGGGCCTGCCTCCAGCAGGAACCTGCACTCCAACCTTTATTTTCTTCATACAGGTCTTTATGAAAGACTTGACATTTCTCCTTCCTTTCTCAGATATTATCCCAATGGGCTGTAAGCAAAGCAGAAATTCCTGCTGTTTAGAAAAGCCCACACAAATGATGGTTGTTATGTGGAACAGTGCTGAGTTCAAAACTCACATATCTGTCTGACCACGGGCAAATCCTTCCATTTCCCCTTCTCCATTGGTCAGTCTGTAAAGTTATGGAAATTGTAACACCTCTGCACAGTTCTTGAGCCTTAAGTGGTTAAGGAAAGTACGTGAGCTGATGAACAAGCATGTTTTCTAATATCTGCTGCTTGAGTAAAGCAGAGATTTACATTGACTGTTATTTTGACCTGAAGTTTTATGACTGTGCTCCACACAGAAATGTCCTGCACTTGATAGGATGCCTTTTGCATTTAACTTTGCCTGCAATGAATCTTGGCCTTACACAGCCCAAAGTCAAAGCAGCATTTGCCCTATTTAAATAATGAGCTATTGATTTTAGAATTTCTCATTTTATTACCGTCATATGGAACTGGTCATATTCTGAGGACTCGTCTCTGAAATGGAAGCTGTTGAATTTTGTTTGGGATGGGACAGAAATGGACTTCAGGGATTTTGCTTATTGAAATTTGGCATATCACAGATAACAGGGACTGCCTGGCCTCACACAGAGCTGTGCACTGTACTGAAAGAGCCTGGGAAGAAATTTCCCTTCTTGCTTGAGCTCAGGCCTCTGAGCAGCTCCTAATGTAATGTCACCTTCATTTGTCACTGGTTGCTGTACCCTGTGTTCTGCTGCTAAGTATTTACAACACCTCCAGGATCAAAGAGATGCTGCCAAGAAGGCTCATGGGGAGAAATTTTGACCTAGTTTTACATTTGGCACCACTTTTCCTGCCAGGAGCAGGTGGACTGTGAACAGACCTTCAGTGGAGAGTCTACCCTGGCTGGCACAGAGAGCCCTGGAATGGCAAAGCCAGCAAAAAGCAGCACTGCAAAGAGTCAGAGGTTAAACCCTGCCCCTCTTCTGCTTCCTTTTCTTGGGAATGCAAATTTTCTGGGAGAAAGGGTGTGCAGGCTGTAAATTCAGTTCATTTTTTTTTTTTGTGTGATTGTTTGTCTTCCCCCCTTTTCCTGCAGCTGGTTCTTTGCTCAGCAGCACTGAGGTGTGTGGGGAGAATCAATTTGCTTTCTGTGGTTGCTTGAATAAGTTTAAGCTACTCAAGCCATAGGATTTTGCAGGTTCCCTACATCTAGGGAACATAAATGGGAAGAAGTGCTACACATCTGATTTTTTCAAGCCTATCTTTTTACTTTCCAGGCTGGGATGCTGTTCTCTTTATGACTGTAACTCTATATTAGGAAGTTGTATTTGTCAAATAATAGAGATCAGTTTGTGTGTTTTCTCACCAATAATCATGTTGTGCTTCTCCCTCCCTTCCCTCTCACCTCCCCCTTGCACGTGATTTTGTAAAATGTTGGCAATTTTGCATCCCCGCTTTCAGTACATGAACTGAAGTAGAAAACTGGGTAGTTTATGGAATAGATGTGCTGTACATGAGAAGAAAATCAGAGGAGGTTTTTATACCTTTAATCTGTACATTAGGATGAAGTGAGCCTGACTTGACAATGCCCATCCATTTCATTAGCTGGCTCTGGAAGGAAGGACCCTGGATGCTTTTTTCTTGTTTTTGGATGTACACCAGGAGAATTGATCCTGAGTTTGCTGAGCTGATAAACTTCTGAATTCTGTATGGAAATGAACTGACACAAGGGTGGGATCTAGGGAGGGGACACGAGGGGGTTCTTTGAACCAAACTCTTGCTATAATTAGGATCTCCGAAGTTGCCTTCTAAGCTCTATTAAGCTATTGATTGATTACAAGGAAACTTGAAGGGAATGGGTTTTATTAATTTGACCAAGTATTAAAAAAAGTAACACTGCTGACTCTTCAGTGGATAAGCACAGGGACCCACCTTGAGAATGGAGTGGTGAAATGAAGGAAATAATCCAATCCACTGGCAGGAGCAGTCAGTTTCTAGAACATCAGGATGTTGATGGAGAGCTTCAGTGGGCTCTGAGAGCTGCATATTCCATCCCATCCTGATATCCCTGAGCAGGAGGGTGTTGGGCTTTCTCAAGAAGCAGAAGTTTTTTAACTGTAAGAACAGGAAATGTCTGAGAGACACAGTAAATTACAATAAGTTGAGAATACAAAAGCTATGGGTGCTGATGGAGACCATCTCTAGCCCACAAAGTCACCCTGTGGCAGTTTGAATTCATGTGTGGTGTTAAACACTCTGCAATTTGGAAGGCAACCTTACATCATTGCTTCAGCAGCCATGGGAAGTTTCATCCTGCAGAGCTGGAAAGGCACCAAAAGGATGGTCTGTGATGCATGAAAAATCTGGAGTTTGGAGGCTGTCCATTGGTGTCCTGATATCATCATCCCTCTCTTTGTTCAGAGCTTTAAATAAAAAGGTCACAACAATTTCTCTTTATTTAGTTTCCTCCTCCCCCTGGGGATTATTAATGGCCCTGAGGCAGATCCAGTCTCTCCTTGCTTTTACTGCTTTGGGGACTGGATTCTGTACCAGACCAGTGGGAACAGAAGTTGGCTAGTAAAAAATTAAGGAAAGCAAACTTGCTCTTACTGCTTTCTATCTGAACTAGTTCTGTAGGTATTTTAAAGCAGCATAGTTTGCAGTGCTGACAATTCGTGAACTTAACCCCTGCAACTCGTGCTGTGCTATTCTTTGGTACCTAAAAGAGCATTGAATTTTTTTTTTTCTTTGAGCTTATTTTTATTAATTTCATGTTTAATGAAAGATATTGAACGCCTTAAGGCTTTTACAGATCGTTCACTGTATCTGAAAGGTCCCATTTTAATGTGCATTTTCTTCATCTACCTTCCACTTTTATCTTAGCCAATGACAGTGAGATTCCTAAGGCTACTTTCTCTTTAAGGGAATACTGCTTACATAAATAGTCCTTTATACCATCTCCTTGTTTTATAATATTAATTGTTTATCAGGAGACAGGAAATATTCCTTAGAAAATGTGTTTTCCTGCTTGTGCATGCCTTGTTACTATTTCAATTATGCAGATTCTTGATGCTGTGGAAATTTGTGCTTGATGACGCCAAGGCAGCTGCACGTTGTTAGCATTGTAGGCTGTCAGATGATCATGTGGGATTCTTGCAGCATGCAACATTCAATAGGATTGAAAAAGGGCTTTTGATGCAAGGCATAGCTTTCAGAATATATTTGTGCCTTTTAGTTAGCTAATAGAAAATCATAATTTATTATCTTTAAATTTAAAATGCTGCCTCATTTTTCTTCTGGTTGGTTTCATTTTGGCTTCACTAGAAGATGCATCTGGTACATCCACGATTGAGGAGTTTATTAATGATACTGTCGTTCAGTTCACTTACTTTTTTTCCTTTTAGAGTCCTAGCTAGCCCACAGATTACATGATCACATGTTCATCCAGTCATTCATATAGAACACAAACCACCATGCATGATTTCTTCTTCTTTCTTTTTCCTCTCTGCCTTTTTTATTCATTTTAAGTTGCTTTGTCATGTTCTCTTTTACCATCCAGCTTAGTCTTTGTCTTCCCCTTGCTGCTATTTGTTCTATATTTTCCCATGCTTGGTTACTGCAATATTATTTGATTAACGGGCTGTGATGATGATGAACCTGCACACTGGAGGAGCAGCTACTACAGTGGTGATGAAGGGATGTAATAATGGTCGCTATCCTCGGAATTCTCTCTACAGTGACTGCATAATAGAAGAAAAGGCAGTGGTCCTGCAGAAAAAAGACAATGAAGGATTTGGATTTGTGCTCAGAGGGGCAAAAGGTATGTGCTTCTGTGTGTGTGTGAGTGTGTGTGTGATGTGCAGTGGCATGAAGAAATTTATACATCTCAGAATATAAGCAGGAATTATTCTTGGTGCACTTGGTTGCTAGACAACAGGATTCTCTGTATGCTATACTACTCCGATGGATTTCGGTGCTTTCTCTCTGAAGCAGTTTGCATTTTTACATGGGAGAAGCACTGCATAATCGTTTTGGGGGGAGAAAGTTATGCCTGTATTTTTCTCATGCTGGTGGATGTAGTATTTTGCCATTAATCTGTTCTGTTGTGCAGTTTACTTAACTGTGGGAAACCTGCTTTCCTCATAAAAGCTGCTGCTTTATTTCAAATGCCAGCCTGATTGAATAGGGCTGCGAATAGGAATAGACAAGAGAGGGATGTTTTGTTTAAAATAGGTGTGGATCTTCTGCAAGGTGACATTGGTGCAGTTTTAGTATGAAAATATGATCTTTTTTTATATCTTGAGAAGCTGCACGTATGTTGCATGGCCTGTAGTGTGCTCATTTTTAAAGCTGTTCATATGTTAAGCTGCACGGCACCTCTCTGTAGGCTAAAATCCATCACAGTGGCATTCCTACCAGTTAAAAAAGACATTCTATTTAATGCTTTGCTTTTTGACTTGCAGTGCAGTTTGCTCCCTTTGTATTTTAAAAAAGAATATATGTTTGTGATGGTATGTCCCATCTCTTGCTCCCCCTCATTTCACATGGGTTCTCCCTTGCCTTGCTTGAGCATGAAAATTATTCCATGTCTTCATTCTTGGGACACGGCTTTTGCTTTCCCTGTTTCCCACCCCTAAACCTAGACCAGTGCCACTGTGGATTTGCAGGGCTGGGAAAGCTTTGCCAGTTTTTTAGCCAAATGAAATGTCTGGAGTTGAAGCAGGGAAGCCCAAGGCACTGCCTTATCTCTGAGTGTTGGTGTGGGTTATCAGTGCTTTGAGCAGGGCTCACTCCCTCTGGCTGAGCCCAGTGGTTTCCCCCAGATTTTCTCTGTAGCAGCGGGGGCAGCTCAGGTGAAAGACCCAAGGACTTTTCTGCCTGTGTGTGTACGTGACACAGAGGGGCAGGCAGGGCTGTCACAGGGTCAGCTGTGCCTCCTCTCCTAAAAAGTGGTCTCTTCTTTGTTATGCACATCTAAATTTAGGAGGGAAAAAAAAAATCTGGGTGATTTTTTAAATTTTTTTTTTTCATCCTTTGCCACCCATCCCAGCCCTCTAGTTTGGCCAGATGCTCTCTCCTGGCTCCAGCACATAATTCATTTTTAGGTGGATGTTGCCAGAGTTACAGCATTCTGCCAGGCACACAAAAGGGTTACTTGAGCCAATACTGAATATCCTGGAATATCAGAACCCAGCTATTGCCTGGTGCAGCTTGATTTGGTTTGTGCCAGGAAAGGAGCAGGTATTTCCCTCCCCCTCTGCAAGGAAGACCTGTGGATTGCTGTTGCAGGGGGGTTGCACTCTGTCCCCAGCATCCTGATCTCCCGTGAGGCACATCCCTCTCACTTCCAGCACCCACCATTTTTTAACCCTAAATTGGAATGGCCAATGATAGGCCTGTAGTCAAGTGGTATTTGCAAGCACTCCATAACTTTCTTTTTTTAATGTGGTATTTATTTTTAAAGCTGACACACCAATTGAAGAATTCACCCCAACTCCAGCCTTTCCTGCTTTGCAGTACTTGGAATCTGTGGATGAAGGGGGAGTAGCATGGCAAGCTGGCCTGAGAACTGGAGACTTTTTGATCGAGGTAGGAGATCCTGAAATTTGATTCTCAGTGCTCTGTTGGGGAAAGAGTGATGATCCTGGTGGAGAATTGACTCTGGAAAAAGTGTGGGATGCCTCTGAGCAGCAAGTTCTGTGGGCTAACACCAGTGATGTGCTTCGCTTGATCAATTTAAAACTTCATGCAGCATTCAGGAAAGCAGTGACAGAGAACAATGGTCAGGCTGACTGGGGATTTTCTGGTTGTTCTTTTTGTCCTTTGGGAACACACTCTCAGAGATATCTGGGAGGTTCTAGTCTTCTTTCAGTTATTGAAATTTAGATGAATTTCAATATTTACTGTGGGCCATCAGTTCTGGTTTCTTCTAAATATTTTTGGGAAGTAACCAAAATTAACGACTTTTTATACAACTATTTCTGCACTCAGAAATATCCATGGTCCAGTGGCATTTAGTAACCATGGAGAATAAAGCAAATTGCTTTGGCTTGAAATTGAATTTTTCCAACACTACACTGAAATACAAAAAAAAAAAAGGCAATTAATGTTATTGCAGTATCAATTACTTTATAAAAAGCGTATATTTAAATACTCTGTTCACTTATGCCAAAAATATCTTCATGTTTGATATTTTGAGGATTTTTTTGTTGGCATTTTAGGTTTTGTTTAAAAAGTTGGTTGTCCTTTTGAGTGTTGCTGGACAGTTTACAGCAAAATCATGATTTGGGACTTTTCTTCCTTTTCCCCCCACAACCTCTTCATGACCAGCAAAGGGATGCTGTGGTTCTCTGAAATTGGGTACTGAAAATAGGTCTTTTGGGATGGATTGGCCAAACCCTGTCGTAAGATTTATTGATTTTACATTATTTGATGTCTTGTTCTTCAGGCCCATGTATGGGGTGGTGAAATACTTCTGGTGGTACAATGTTTATTTCTGCAGAGCTGGCTTTTGCATGCAGGAGAGGGTACAACATGCAGCTTTTTTTGGAGCGTGCCTTGAACTCCCATGGTGATTGAATTTAAATAGTTGCACCACTTCCTCACACTGTAGCCGTGAAAGAACAGGCTTTGCAGGCTTCTAAAGTAAATAGATATGCGTTTTTATCTCTGTCTTAGAGCACATTTCCCTTGCTGTTTGTTTACTTAAGGAGAAGCGTTTAGCGTTAGAAACCAGCTTACAAATGGAACTGCTGCGATCCCTGGGCAGGGATCCTGCCAAAGCTCTCCCTGTCCCTGTTAGGTGGGGTTTTGAAACAAGGCTGTGTTTTTAGAGGTGGGTTTCTAGTTAGGCTTTTAATCCAAGGGAAGTGTGAAGAGTCTGTACTGGCAGATTGCACAGATAGAATGGATGGTGAACAATGTGCAATTTAATTCATTATGGAATGACAAATATGCTCATGGATTTTTTAAAGATCTCTGAAGGGGTGGAAGAAGGCTGGGTAGCTGATTCTGCACAAAGCTTTACTGTTTTTTTGGCAAATGAGAGAAGAATTATAATTAATTGTCTAGACAATTTACTCCTAGCCTTAGCTTAGAAGAGCAGCTAAACATGCACATACAGTGCTGAATCAGGAGGACGTTAATCCATACTCCAGCATATTTGTAATTAATTCTGAAAGAAGCCATTATTACATGCAAATCAAATCCATTTCTGTGTAATTTATGTTCATCGGGGTTATTCTGTTCTGAATTTTGCAACTTAATTAAGAGGTTATGATAATCCTGAGAAATGACAACTTGGCTGTTGTAGGAGACTTTTCTGTTGGGGAAAGGCAGGATTTTTTTCTGTTTTATGGCCAACATGCAGTGCACAGCCCTGGCTGGATGGAGAAAGCCATCTTTAGAGATATTTACAGTGATGCAAAAGACTGATGAAATAGAAGTCCACCTGCACTTCCAGGAATGCCAAGCTACTTTGTCTTTTGTGTTGAACTAAAAGATTTAAATTTACACGCCAGCAAGTGGTTGTATGCCCTGGTGTAGTCAGCCTGCCTTGCTTCTAAATGATTTCTACCATGACTCTGAAGTTTATGCTTCTGTGTGTAAGTGCCAGCTCAACCATTTGTAAGTAATATCAGGCATTTATCATAAATGTCACATGAATAATAAAAGAGTTAATGGGCAACCAGGATCCTAATTAGTGCTATTTTTAACACTCGTGGCAGGCGCTGGGTGTTAGGGAGGGGAGAGCTCAGTTTGGCAGGGGGCAAAATGAGAGGCAGAGCAGATGCTTCATTCTTGCTTCAGGAGGTTTGGTGGCTCAGGGTCATGGAGATGAGGGGAACCTCACTGTGGAAAGACAGGTTTGACAGGGAGATATAGATCCTTTCTTTGCAGAGCACGAGGGCAGGAGGACAGGCCATCGTTTTTTTGTGTACAGTTATGGTCTGGAATCTTCTGGAGGAGGGAAAACTTCAGTATCAGCTATGAGGCATTATAATAATTCATGTTTGGGGTTTGATATATGTGGAGCAGAACAAATAAAAGATCCATACAAAAAAGGAAGAAAAGGTTCTGTTTTGCTCCAGCAGATAAATGGAGTAGGGATTACCTGGAACAGCTGGCATTGTATCTTATGACTGAGTTTTTATCAAATGTGCAGTTCCTGATTTGTCCAACCTGTACAACTAATTTTAACATGAGACTTCAGAGATGAACATTACACTTGCCCTTGGAAACAGTGCTCACAGAGTCTCCATGGAAATTTCTGACAGTGTGTGGTTTGTCTCCTCCTTGCTTCAAACCCAGCCGTGGTTTTTGTGATAAAAATTGTGAAGTGTGTAGTGGCTTTCCTGGATAGAGCATAGGGCAAATGTACTGGAAAAGTGCAGGAGTAGTTTTAGAGCTGAAGGAGTGTGAGGTAAAGGCAGCTGTCAATAGATGTGGATTTTCATAAGCAATTTAAGAGATGCCAATTCAATGTGATTTTTTTTTTTTCTTAGCTTTGATGAACAGTCAGAAAACAAGGATGGTTATGATTTGGTTGTTATAGCTGGCATTTTACAGCTTGCTCTATGTGCTATTTTTCACTATTTTAGTTGATGTTTTCTTGAATCTTGATATCAGTCTGATCAAAAAGATAGATAAAAGTAAAGCTACGTATTAGGCCAAGTGCTAAATACTGCAGTCTTCATAAGAAAGGGGTTAAAAAATTACAGCCATCACTAATTCCTTTGTAGGTCATTAATAACTCCTCAGTGACTGGATTTCTATACTATAACTGCTCAAGTTTGGAAAAATTCAGTGAGTTCTGCCTTGAGACATGACTTAAGGTGGGGTTGTTTTGGGGATTTGCTTTGATGACATAAACAAGTCTAAGCATTTTTGAGTAAAGAAACCCCTTAAATGGGAAGGCCTGGTTTAACTCAGAATAGAGTTTTGTGGAGGGTTTTAGTGTGGTAGGATATAGAGTGTCTTTTAAAATTAACCCCCAGTGGATTACTATTTGTTCTTGTTGTCCCCATGAGTGCGCAGCTGTTCTGCAGGTGTTGCCTGATGTGGCTCATGGGGATTTTCCCTGTCACACAAACAATAATGTTACACTACCAGTACTCAGAAAGCCAAGTTAATTCTGCAATATTTTACCAGAACAATGCATTTGTTCTCTAAATGAGGCATTGCAGTTTGCATTATTGTGCCATAAAATCTCTTATTTTTCTAGAGAAATTGAAATGTTATTGTCTTTGGAATAGCATAGCTGCTTATTTACATTCCAGTTAATATGTAAACTAGATAAACCTGGTGAATTATTCATTTAAAAAATAAAAACAAAAGGGGCAAAATTCAAGGTTTAATTTGAGGATAAAAACCAGAGATGATAATAGAAGAAATGTCATGATTTTGCTGCAGAACTGGTACCTGTGCTAAAACATGCAAAATATCTGTAGTATAACTGCCTGCATTTCTTCATCCTCAAAGGCTTATACAATTTACTAGTACAAACTTTTCTTTAACTGCTTTTGGGTAGAAAAGAAACATTTTATTACAGCATTATTTTATCATTGTATAAAAGATATCTGTCCTCTGACTGCATGTAAAAAGTTGCAATAGACATTTAAAAAATCTGAAATATTAAAAAAAAAACACCTTCATACACAAATGAAGCCTTTTTAGGAATAGGTTACTGGGTTTATTCCAGTAAGCACTTTACACAGCTGTAGGAAGCAAACTTTGGACTTTATTGTTGTAGCTTAAACTCTAGTAATTATTAATATTTTAAGCAATGTTATGCCTTACAATGGTATTCAGTGGCTGGGTGAATTAGTGGTTCTACAAAGCCAGCTACTACTGATTCCAGTCCTTTTAGCAAGAGAGAAACCTTACCATCCTTTGATAATCTTCATATTAATTACCCTCTGGGTGTGTTTTCTCTTATTTCTAGTGTGAACTCTGCTCGCTTCTACCACCAGAGAGAAATCTAAATTTTTTTTTTTCCCTCATGGGCAGACTCATGAGAACCACGATACTTTATCTCTTGGAAATAAGTGGAGGCTTTGTTAATGGCTTTGTAAGAACCAGGATTCTCACGTTGCAGCTGAAAGTTTGCCCCTCTCCTCCCAGCAGTATGGACACCAGCTCCATGCAGTGCTTAATACGAGTGCTGTGTGTAGGAGGAAGACAGCAAAGCCAGCATTCTCAGTACATTTCTGAGGGCTGGATTTAGCTCTCACACTTAGGCCTTTCTGGGGGACCAGCAGAGGCAGGTCCACATTGGTTCAGTGTCCTGCAGGAGGATTTTTTTGTTGCCAGCTTGGCTGCTGCTCCTGCCCAGCCAGGGAGCCTCCTGTTTGGCAGGAGAACAGCCAGGCTGGGAGCTGCTCTGTTCCTAGACAGCACCTACTCTGGGCTTGGATCAACTCTACAAACATCTTTTTAATGATGAGGGGTTTGCCAAAGCTGCAGCAGCACTGCAGTGTATGAGTTTCTGGAGAGGGAGTTCCTGGCCAGGGCAGGGGCTTGGAACTGAATGGGCTTTGGTTCCTTCCAACAAAAACCATTCTGGGATTCTTTATGTATGTACATAGCAC